TGTGTGTGTGTGTGTGTATTTGTGTGTGTGTGTGTATTTGTGTGTGTGTGTGTATTTGTGTGTGTGTGTGTGTGTGTGTATTTGTGTGTGTGTGTGTGTGTGTGTGTATTTGTGTGTGTGTGTGTATTTGTGTGTGTGTGTGTATTTGTGTGTGTGTGTGTATTTGTGTGTGTGCACAAACAAAACCTGGGGGTTCTAACTGATAAAGCTCTTGCTGCACCAAACACCAGACAAGAATTGCCTTCCTGCCCAGGCAAAAAGTGGGACAAAGTAACATAAAAGGCTAAGCAAAAAAAATGCAGCCTTTTATCTCCATGACTCAGCCAGTGCAGTTGCCACTGCCCTGGCACAAATATTCTGCAACCCAGCCGTGCCCAGATTGCTTGGCCAAGATTAACAGCACAGCTTTCTGAACCCTCAGCTCCCTCCTCTTGCAGGCAGCTGGATCTCACATTCCATTCATTTCCCTTAACTTCTTGCCATTCCATTCAGTTAACCTGGAGCATGCTCATTTGTACTGAGTATTGTGTGTGCTTCAGCAGCGTGGTAGGATTCCAGCTTCCCTCTGCCCTTGCTCTTCACCTTGAGTTATTTAACCTTATCTAAGCTCTTTGTTTTCTTTTTAAGACAGTCCCACCTCAAATTAGAAGTCCTAGAACTTAAAACAGGCTTGCACACTTGGAGTAAAATCATTATGCATAAACATACATGAAAAACAAAATGCAAAAGCCCTCCCAAAATGAAACTACTTCTAGCAAAAGGGCCAAGTATTGGGGAGTCTGCATGTGGTGGGTACAGCTCTGGAGCAACATCTCCCTGCTGAGGAAATCTCCAGTGATGGTACAGAAAACACAGCCCTGCTGCAGTAACTTCTGTAGTGCCTTTGTGTTGATACGTGCTAAAAAAAGTAACATTTCTCATATTCTGGTTTTTCAGGTCACTCACATACCCAGTCATTTCATTTGCAATCCAGAGAACACCACGAGCACATGAGGCTGGGTGTAAAGCACAGCTCTTGGCACAGTTATCCCAGGAAGTGCCACGAGCTCCTCCATCTCTTACAAAACCTCTCTCAAACCCAGTGTGGGGTTTTTTCACATAGAAGTTGTGCTTTGTAAGGATGCATTTGCAACGGATTCTTGACAATTATCAAGTGAAATAATTTTCTTAACTTAATGCTGCTTTCTCCCATATTTAAATTCGTTACAGAGACAAATAATAACCATATAAACAGCCTCTTCCTTTTCTCAATCACAAATGACTAAGAGCACCCACACACAGCTGTGAAGCTGCTGCTTTCTCCCAGCAAACAATGTTTCACAAAGCATATATAAGGAAGCTGAATCCATCCCTTTTGTTACAGGAAACCTCTGGGAGGAGCTGAAAGATGACAGCCTAGCTGTGGATCCTCTAGTTCTCATTTCATCATCTCCAACACCCTCTCAGTGTTTCCCTTCTCACTGCCAGATGGAGAACAGCACCAATGGCAACATCCAGCACGGAGCTCCCCACAGCAGCCTCCCCGACCTGCAGCTCACCACGCTTTACTCTGCCTTCATGGACTTGGATACAGTGTCTCCTGCCTACCTAAGTAATTCTGGATCCAAACCTATAGCACTGATGTGAACCACACACCGATCTGATTAGTATTATTTCAGCTAACTACAGTCCTAACCATCACACACACCCACCTATTCCCTGTCAGCTGAAACCATGTCCATCAGAACAAGAATAATCTCCTTCCAGAACCTGCCTGCAGGATATGTAGCTTTACTATCATTATTTTCTACAGACAGATACTGAAAAAAAAAACAACAAAAAAAACCAAAACAAAACCCAAACCATTATTTAAATCTAATATTGTTAATGGCTGAACTGGTCAACACCATTTTATCAAGCCACTCATCTTCTGCATCCTCCAGAAACAAATGACTGTGAGAGGAAAATGAACTTTTTTCTTTTCTATTTTAAATGAAAGCTGCTTGCAAATGGACATAGAAGTCAGAGGTCCTTTCCAACCATGACAATTCTGTGATTCTGTAATAACCTAACTTATTTCCTGGAGCCAATGAGATCAACATCATCTGCCATGGACCAGTACAGATAAAATAAAATAAATCTGCATATGGAAACATTTATAGTCCCCTTGAAAGAAGTCCTGGGTTTTGAGAAACAAGAAGAGAAACTGCAAGTTGTAAGCCAGAGGACTTGCTGCTGACAGACTAAACCAAAGCAACAAATACACTTTCATGAAAAACCTTAAGTTTTACTGTGTTTAAAAAGAAATATAAAATTGCTTTTTTAATAAAAAAGAACAAAACTATTCAGTAGAATTTTTACTTGGCTGGAAATCATTCACATTAATTCCTCTATTTTTATCCACAGAAACTGAACAGGAAGATGAATTATTTAAAGCATGAAATCAAGATTTTGAAACATGCTAATAAAAGAGAGCACATGACTGTTGCAGCCAAACCCAGAGAGCATCTCTGTCCCAACTCCCAGCTGACACATCCAGGAGGGCTGATGCTGGTGCTGAACTAGCCCTTGCCTTAGAAGAGCTAAACTGAGGCATTTCAGTGGCCACTTTCAGGACCACAGTTTTCTCCCTGATTCACCACAAAGGTGCTGCTTGTGACACGACAGACCTGTGACACCGTGCGGAAGCAGCAGGGAACTGCAAAGAAAAGCACAGACAGGTAGGAGAGGGAGGCAGCACTGGTTATAAAAGGGCCTGCAGGTGTGATGAGCTGCTTCTCCCAGCAAGGTGGGGTTCTGCCAGTGCGGGCTGCAGCCAAACCCAGGTTTTAATCCACACCCTCAGCCCTGCCTGCTGCCCAGAGTCTAAAGAAAGCCAGATTAGGGGCAGACGGATAGAGAAGGTTTAGGAAGAATTCATGTGATGCAGCTTTGTAATCCCTTACGCAGCTACCAAGAAATCCTCACTTGGCTTGAGCCCCTTCCCCTGCATTCCTG